AATTGTGAGCAACTGGCATGAAATACTACACTTACTACAATAAAAAAAATCTAATTGGTTCCTCTGGGCCAATGCATGCAATTGCAATAATAATATTAAATAAAGGCCTATCTGGCTTTTCTTCTCTTGCAAGTACCTCAAGGGCTTGTTTACACTTCACTAAATTTCTAACTCTTTAAATAAGCCCCTGTAGTATGGGTGTTAGACAGGCATTAATGAGCTTTAGTATGGGCGTTTTTAACGCTCCTCAAACACCCTATGCGCGGTTTTGAGGCATTTTATAAGCGTTTTACAAGTGTTAAAACTGCACCTCAAATGCCTATAATAAACTCTAATGGCATTAACACGCCACAATCGCACTGCAAACGCCAGCCAGGGCGTTTGAGGAGCATCACAATAGACTTGAATAATAGGCTTGGAAAGGCTTCAAACTCCTCCTGACGCTTCATGTTTTGATAATGTGAACAGTACTGTGTGCTGCCCATAGTATCATTTCCATAGGCGTTTGAGGAGCGTTAAAAACACCCCTCAAACGCCTGCTTTCAAAGCCAGTGTGAACTAGGCCTAAAGGCTAAGCTACTGCCGAAAATGGCCTACAGTTGTGGCACTTCCATTAATCAGCTAACCAGTTATTTTTAACCAACTCGGGCCCTTGTCTGCTTAGTCTTTCTTTATGAAAAATGTCAGCCAACATCACATACTGAAATAAAACCTGAATCTTGCTCCTTTATAGGTGAACTCCAGGATGTGTATTTTTACTTGAATCTTGGTGTGCTTTGTGTATTTCATATCTGTGCAGTTATCCAGTGTGAATCTTTGCCTCTGTGCAGGAGCTTCCTGTAATAAAGACTAGTCACTGCTGATCTCTCTTCTTGTGCAGGGTGACTGGGCTTGTATCTGCCCCCTCCTGTAGTTTTCTGAAGGCAGTCTGTAGTTTTAGGGCCTGCTGGATTCCTCCTGCAGCTCAGCTTTCTGCACAAGCTATGTGGAGCACAGAGGCAATGTCACTGCTACTTTTACAAGGTAATAACTGGGTTTACAAAGACACTTGGTGCGCACAAAGTGGTTTTATGCCATTTGTGTCTATTGTCGAATCTATTTAAAATAATGTTTTTCCTGATGTTCACCTTTATATTCAAAAGTAGTAAAATAAGTGACGAAATATGTTTTCTACAGTACCCAGTGCACTGAGCTACCTCTCAAACTGGTCCTATGACCTAATGCCAAATCATGGGTCACAAAATGTGACCCAGCAGGGTGATATGACTAATGTTCTAGAACTTGGTGAGGTGACCAACATCAGAGAGAACCTGGTACCAGTATAGATATTAGGATGCAGGATATGATTGTTATTTCAATAAAGGTTCAGATAAAATTCTACTCTTCAATGTGCAGTGGGGGTTTATATGTTACTATATGGGTGTTTAGAAATTAAGGAAATAGGAAATATATACTCATCCTGCATTACCTAGATTGCCTCAGAATTATCATCTGTTAAAACTCTTGTATTTTTAGAAGTACAATCAGTGATAGGATGGGGTATTCCGTGGACCACCATAATGAACTGTGATGACCCACCTACCGATACAACCACAGCTTTTTTTATTTTGCCCGCTAAACCTCGTCTTTTTTTAGCATGTTCTCATGGATTCTGCTGAGTAGTAATCAGACAAAACATATACATATTTTATTCCAAGTGTTCCTTTCTAGTAGTTATCTAGAAAATTGCAATATGTATTCACACCTGCTACTATATTCAGAAAGTTGTCACAGACAACAATCAGAAGTCACTGCCAACTTATTTTATGGCTGATGTACAATGTATACTCTACTCTGACTGAGCTCAATCTGTCAAAGTGCACCTGTCAGAATTTTTTAACATTTTAACTAATAGTTATACATAAAAACAGCCACCAGAAGATGTCTGATATTAACATATAGATTCTGTAAGCCTTTTGATTGAGTTTAAGTTTGTTACAGGGACCTGACTTCCATGATCTCTAATTTAACCTCCACTATTCTGTCCAATACGAGTTCAAAGGACACAGAATTGATCTCCCTGCACAGGGAAATGACAGGCATAACTTATCCTTTACTTTTAAATGCTTCAACCAACTGACAAGTTCATTTTAAAGTTGATATAGCATGTGGCAAACAATATGGATCCCATTCCAGTGACTGATCTGTTGTACTGGCCCCTGCATGATGGGAATCCTGATATGGGTATATACATGTCCAACCAGTATTTGTTTTGTCTGAACCAGCCCTTCTTTGTTGATTGCAATTCTCAGATTTTCCATCCCACCTATAGCCTGCTGTACTATATTATAAAAGATTTAATCTTTCTTCTTGTGTCCACTTTGGGCTCTAGTACTTAGACAGTGCTATAACAGAATGGGGGTTCATGACATTTCTAACAGACCCATGAGAACCAATGACATCATCTGTGCAGATTATTTTCCCTGTCTAGGTGACCATACAAATAGTAAGGAAAGATTTCCTCAATAGTTTCTTATTTTTAAAATACAACAGTCTTTTATAAGTCCTAAACATGTGGGTTAGTAAAGATGTTGCTGGTAGTTGGAAAAGCTGGTTGTTGCTATCTTTTCATTTCTTTACATTGCAAACAGTGTCCCATACTTATCTCTGTAATCCTACCATGTATTTGCACTAATGCAATATAATATATGTCTAATATATACTGTATAGTGGATAAGTTAGTTAAATGCATAACATACTTGTAGCGCATCTCTAGCGCTGACAATTTGGTGCAGTGCTATTCCACTCCATGTTTGTAAAGAAAATTAAAATATACCGTATATTTTTATAATAAAAATGTTCCCTATATGTAAGATAAATGTCACAAATCTTTTTAAACATACATTCCCTGTAAATTAAATTCCTTGACCTAATACTATATGATAATAGAAAAATAAATATATATATATTTTTAAACCTATACACATACATATATTTATATAGAAAGCGATATAAATATATACATTTTTATATATAGATATAGTTATACCTATATATTTCTATGTATAGACTTCTATATGTATGTGTTTATATTTCTTTGACAACTGAAGGAAAAGTGACTGAGTAGCATCAATATTTTTATTTTTTGAGTCTTACTAATGTCTTTCATGTGGGAATATTATTAATCTTTGTTACAATGCAAATGTTTAAAAAAGTGGTTTAAAAACCTGGCTTGGCATTTTCTGCATCCGTTCTTATGGTAGCCCCTACTGAATTTGTAAAAGAAAAAAAATAATAATAAATAATAATAAATTAAATAATTTCAGACAAAAAATATAGTATAATTAAATAAAACAAATCCTATGACCTACCCACTTTCCCCACCCAGAAAAAACAACATGTTTATTCATTGAAAATTCTTCACATTTTTTTTCTCCCCTTCCCCATAATTTTTTTTTTTTGCCCCAGTATTCTCGTCCTTTTGCTTTGATCGTTTTTTTTTAAATGAATCAGTTAAATGAACAGGTACATAGAGGGAATTCATGCATTTTTTTTCTTCGTTTGGTTCATTCTATCCTTTTTGGGATTTTTTTTTTAATGTGTTTTGATTTTTTTTGTCTTTTTTTTTAAGAAATCTGTTTTTTCTTCACTTCTTTTAGCACTTTGTTCTCTGTACTTGCATGTTCTTGCTCAGTTTGGGTCTCTAGCCCTTTCAGTCTTTTTCATTCCACCATTACACCTTTGTTTAACCCTTTCATTCTTACCAAATAAATATAATGAAAGGGTTAAACGCTACAGTTTGCTTGTACAGGGTAGAGGTATACAAATAATATCAAATTTTATGAAATCTTGAAAACCCTCTAAGCAAGATAAGAAATAAAAACAATATACTTCACAATTCCTTTGTACATGTGCATATATATATATATATATATATATATATATATATATATATATATGTATGCACACTCTGCCATTTTGCCTTTGCACAATGATGGTATACACGATGGTGATGCAGTATGTTGTTCAATGTGGTTATATATTGTTATCACGTTCCCAGTAAATATGCTGCATAAATGTTTTTAATAGTAATGTTTAAACATGGGTACCCACTATCATAAATTTCTTTTGTTTCGCAAGGCAATTTTTATAATTATTGTTATTAATCCCCATACAAGCAAGACTGTGTTTTAGACAGAATGCATTTTTCAAAAAAAATAGAACCTCAAAATGTTATATACTAGCATGTAACAATTACAGCCTTTAAAGGTCCTCCACTTGTTTCTAAATTATGATGTTTACTGCATATATTATGCAGCAGTGGTTTTATATGCAAAGTGAAATAATTTGGTTCTAGACATTGGATATGACTTTCTGAATTTGGCAAGATGTTCTGTTTCAGACAATCCCACAGACCATCTAGAATATTTGCGTAGAAGCAGTTGTGTGTAGTTATGCAAATGGAAACATTTTGAGGCTATTTTTGAAAGGAAGTACCTGTCCTAGCCATACAGATCTGTGTATCAGACTTTGTTTAATTGCTCTGTACAATAAATTTCACTGAAGGTCAAGTGAAGAACGTGTTTTCCTTGACTTCAAGTTTCTAAGATGGCCTCATATTCTTTCCTGTCTCTGGCTCTTATTTTAAACCCATAGAAATGTTAAAATTTGGTTTTGAGGTTAAACATTTGAATAAAAATTGAAGGTTACTAGTATATGATTTCAGCAGTTTCTTTCTGAAACTTGCTTCCATTTTTCTGTGGTTACAGAAGTCTTGAAACAGCTGGGTTGCTATTGAATTCCAAAACATTTGATATTACTGTTTAAATGTTGAGGTGTCTGTGTAGAAATGGAAAGACTAGCTTTGGAACCTAATTTAGAACCAAAACAGTTCACTAGTTGATTAAAATGACAGCCAAAAGCTTGATACACAGATCCTTATCTCTAGACCACACTACTTTAGCTTTCTGACCCTCTTTGTTCTATCCCTCTTTGTCTTTCTTTTCTTGCTTCATCCTGTTTCATACTGGGGTGGTCCTGCGGTTGGCTGTGTTGGTGTGCGCAGAGTCCTTATTATCTTTGGGTATACAGTTATGAACTTGGAGGAAGCTGTTATCCGAGTTATAAGTGGCCGTGGGGGTCCCAGCCGACTTGAGGGGGTCGCGGCTCAGCGTGTACATGGAGATCTCAGTGGAGGGAAGGGTGTTGAAGCCCTTAAGGCCCACAGGAGAGGCATCACGGGAGTGGGATGGCTCCGTAGACCGGGAACTGGAGCGGCTACGCCTCTGATAACGATAGCGATAGCTCGGAATGCGAGTGATTGCAGAGGACTGGAGGTAGTCCGTGGCCCGTGCTGTGGCCCTCAGTTGTTTGTGGCGGTCAATGAACATGTGAACAGCAAGCACTCCCACCATTTCAGCAATAATGAAGGAAAGGGCCCCAAAGTAAAAAGACCAGCCATATGAGTAGCTGTTTTTCTTTGAGTCGCTTTTGGAAGGGTCACCTGCATTGGCTGATATGTAGACAATGATTCCAATGATGTTGCTCAGACCTGTATAAATATATACAGGAGAAAGAAGGAGATTAAAGTACTTCACCGTAAGAAGATGCCAACTATAATTCAGAACTACAACACATAGAGGTTTATTTACTAAAACTGGAGAGTACAAAATCTGATGCAACTCTGCATAGAAACCAATTGGCTTCCAGGTTTTATTACCAAAGCTTAATTGAACAGACTGAAGTTAGAAGCTGATTGGCTACCACGCACAGCTGCATCAGACTGAGTGCATCAGTTTTAGTAAATCTACCCGATATTATATAACATTTTGATTCATGATGCTATGTGAAAACTTCAATACAAGTGTGGTTCTAGGCACTAAGTCTTCCCTTCCTCAAAACTACTGTTAAACCCACTCCTTCAGTCACTAGGCAATAGTGTGTCTACCAACTTAGGGGGCAACATGGGACCTGCGAGTAGGGTAAGAACTATGGGGAACATATGAAAAAGTGGAAGTATAGGCACTCGGCTGAATTCAAAGATAAAAAAAATACACGTTTACTGTTTAATATGCAATGGGATTTGCATTTTTAGCCACTGATTTACACATATTGGCCATACTGTTCAACCACAACTTCATTTTATCTGGACAGAGGTGATGGTGCTTATTCATTGTACAAAGAGTAGGTTGGAGGTAGGGAGGCAACACAAAAAGCATTGCTAACTAAGAAAAAAACTGCCTGGTGCAGTGTGACAAATACACTATATTGCAAACGTATTGGGACACCCCTCCAAATCATTGGATTCAGGTGTTCTAATCACCTCAATGGCCACAGGTGTATAAACTCAGGCACCTAGTCATGCAGACTGCTTCTACAAACATTTGTGAAAGAATGGGTTGCTCTCAGGAGCTCAGTGAATTCAAGCATGGTATCGTGATAGGTTGCCACCTGTGCAATAAGTCCACCGCGAAATTTCCTTGCTACTAAATATTCCACAGTCAACTGTTAGTGGTATTATAACAAAGTGGAAGCAACTGGGAACAGCAACTCAGCCACAAAGTAGGGTCAGTGCATGCTGAAACACACAGTGCACAGAAGTCGCCAACTGTCTGCAGAGTCAAACTTTCATGTGGCCTTCAGATTAGCACAACAACAGTGCATAGATAGCTTCATGGAATTGGTTTCCATGGCTGTGCAGCTGCATCCAAGCCTTACATCACCAAGTGTAATGCAAAGTGTCAGATGCAGTGGTGTAAAGCATGCCGCCATTGGACTCTAGAGCAGTAAAGACATGCTCTCTGGTGTGATGAATTACGCTTCTCTGTCTGCCAATCTGATGGCAGTCTCTGGGTTTGGCAGTTGCCAGGAGAACGGTACTTGCCTGACTGCATTGTGCCAAGTGTAAAGCTTGGTGGAGGGGAGATTATGGTGTGGGGTTGTTTTTCAGGGGTTGCGCTTGGCCCCTTAGTTCCAGTAAAGGAAACTCTTAAGGTGCCAGTATACCAAGACATTTTGGACAATTTCATGCTCCCAACTTTGGGGGAACAATTAAGGGATACCCCCTTCCTATTCCAACATGACTGTGCACTAGTGCACAAAGCGAGGTCCATAACATGGCTGAGTGAGTTTGAGGTGAAGGAACTTGACTGGCCTGCATAGAGTCCTGACCTAAACCCGATAGAACACCTTTGGATGAATTAGAGCTGAGATTGCGAGCCAGGCCTAATCACCCGACATCAGTGACCGACATCAGTGCCTGACCTCACAAATGCGCTTCTGGAAGTATGGTCAAACACTCCCATAGACACACTCCTAAACCTTGTGGACAGCCGTCCCAGAAGAGTTGAAGCTGTTATAACTGCAAAGGGTGGGCTAACTCAATATTGAACCCTATGGACGAAGACTGGGATTCCATTAAAGTTCATGTGCGTGTAAAGGCAAGCGTCCCAATACTTTTGGCAATATAGTGTATGTGTGAACCTCAAGATTGGCTGAACAGAATGACAAATCCTTTTGCAGCTAAGACAGTAAATATATATGTATTTCAATTTGTATTTAGCTGTTTACTTGGAGTAATGCTTTAACTGGTATCTTCTTCTCTATCTTCTTTTTTCAAGAAGACCTGTTTGTTCAGTTACCTCTATTCTGCATCAACCACAGCTCCTCAGTATAAAAAGGAAAGCACTTGATGAAAGAAGGTGAAGCTTTTGATTTGAGCACATTCATTACATTTTATCCAATATTTCAGATGTTATGGCAGCATAGCTTTTCAAGCAGTGGGACTGACACAAATGAAGAATTGTGCAGCACTAAGTCAAAAACCCTAAGTGAAGGTGTTGTCCTGCAACTTGTAATATTCGTTCAGAAATGCCATTGCCTTAATCTGCCTTTGGATGGTGTCAGATAAGATAAGATACTGCTACATACATGAAGATATATAATAAATAGACAGATTCTTTTAAACCTAGAGTGAGACACTTGCTGGCAAGATTGTAGACGGGGTATATGTGTCACTGAGACTTCTCACATGTACATGGTGAGGGACTCTAGGGTTTGTGCCTATTATGGAGGAAACAAAATTTGTTGTTTTCTCAGACAATAAAGGATACATTCACCTTAAAAAGCAGTTTTTTATGCAGCTAAAATATGTGCATTTTTTTTTCTTAGGACCCTAGAAAGCATTGCACCCATGATCAGCAGATCGCGGGTGCAATGTCAGGCTCCTGCAGACTGTCAGTGTAGCAGTCTGCCTGTACCTCCAATATGGGCAGGCAGTTACTTCAGTCCAGGAAGAATCAATGAACTACAAGGATGCTTACCAGCGCCCTCATAGTTCAGTAAAGACTGCAAGCTGTCAGCTGCAAAGGCTGTCGGTACTTGTAGTCTTTTCATTCACAGGACTGTGCGAAGGAATGAGGCGCCAGTGTGGGGAAAGAAAATCCTTGGCCCGCTGTTATGTGGAGGGGGGGAGAGGCTGTAGGAGCGGGAACATGTTACATGTTCCACCTTGAAAGCAGGTGGGACATGTAACATGTTCTTGAACTTATCCCGTAATGGGTCCTGTACTGGGTCCCGGAGGCTTTGTAAAGCTTTGGGTGAGATAAAGCCCCCCAGTCTTAGGTCCATGTTTTACCTGTTAGCAAGACCTTACTAAATAGTCAGCCGTCCCCAGTCCTTTTTATATATGAGCTGACTAAAGCTGACCATACACTGCTAGATCTTCATACTGACATTTGTATGAAAAACCTCATCGGTACATTTGATAAGAGACTTTATGAATGTCCTTCAAAATTGCTGTTTTGCTGTTTGCTTTTAAGGTTTGCTTCTGGAACTGATGGAATTCACCGCACACAGAATTTTAAAAGAATTTCCATCCCGCTTCATCATTTTGTCATCACTACAGTCAAAAATGATTGTCAATTCAACTCTATTAGCTAGGGAAAAACACAAGTTCTGAAAACTAAATTTTTCAAAAGAAATTTCTACTGGTGTAAGGCCAGCTTTAGGCTCAAGGGCTCTTTCTCTCTCTGCTGGGACAACATGCTGCTGGATGAAATGCTGACTATTGACAAAATGCTAAAAGTACATGTGCTCTTTGTTTTGGGGAACCTATTAGAGGACAATTTGTTTATTGGAAACTGGCAGAAGTTTAGCAGATATTTTTTGTTTTATGCTATGGACTTGCTGTACAAAGCTCTCCTGCATTAAGCTGTTTATTTATTGCTTTGCTAAATAAAAGTGCTAGAAAAACCTTGTTGAACTGTTCCTAAGATGTCCCTGTCCTGTGTTTGGTTACCGTTGCCACTACCACTTGAACTTGTATCCTTTACATTGGAAATAAATAACATTCAGAAACATATATTTTTATCTAATAAATATTTTTACATATCCCTGAATCACTAAAATGTATTTTATCAATCTAAAGAAAGATTGGGGAACTGAATTTATTCTCTATTGAGAAGAGGAGATTAAGGGGGGATATGATCAACATGTATAATAAACACATCAGTGGTCCATATAGTGAACTCGGTGTAGACCTATTCACCCTGAGGTCATCACAGAGGACAAGGGGGCACTCTTTACGTCTGGAGGAAAAGAAATGTAATCTCCAAACATGGAAAGTTTTCTTCACAGTAAGAGCTATGAAAATGTGGAATAGACTCCCTCGAAAGTTGGTTCTGGGCAGCTCAGTGGATTGCTTTAAAAAAGGCCTGGATTCTTTCTTGGATACACAGAATATAACTGGTTACTAACATTGATAGGTAAAGCTGATTGCCTCTCAGGGGATCAAAAAGGAATTTTTTTCCCTGAAGGAGCAAATTGGATAATGCTTTGCTGTTTTTTTGTCTTCTTCTGGATCAACAGTGAGTGTAGGATTATAACTTTTTTTTTTTGGGTTGAACTGGATGGACTTTTGTCTTTTTTCAGCCAGACTAACTATGTAACTAAAGTCAGCCACGTTATAAAAAAGTTTAGTATGAAGCTTTCTTTAGCTGAGGAAAAAGCTACTTCTGCTGTTTTTCAGGTCCCTGCTGCAGCAATACACAATGGGGGAGGGGGGGGGGGGGGGGATTCAATAAAGGTGCTGCATTACTTTTCTGGTTTTAATCCCACTTGTTAATGTATTGCGCCAAGTTCATGAAGCATTTGTGACATTCTTGGGACTGACAGCGACTTGTATACCAAATTCAGATAGTTCTAAAATGCGCCACTTTTACATTTGTGTTGCATGGAATGTGCCAAATGTAAAAGTGGACCTAATTAGGACCAACTCTCTTTGGGCCTACAGAGAGAAAAACTGGCTTATACAGATTTTGCGAATGTGTCTCACATTCATTCTAAAAGTGGCGCAGCATGAGCCAAATTCAAGTACAAGTTCTAGACAAGTACATAAATTTGGCACATTCTTCACCCCTTTTAGAACACATGAGAGACACTTTTGCAAGATCTGCCTGGCCCAGTCTTTAAAAATTCCAGGAAAAGTTTCTTACTACAGACAGTGTATGTATACAAGGGGTTACATTTTCATTATGGAGGGTTAGCGTGAGGGTAGGGCTACAGAATGGGTTAATGTGAGTGTTGGGCTTACTGGGAAGGTTAGTGTGAAGGGTGGCGTTACAGAGACGTTTAAGCTGGCCATACACTGAGTATGAACTTTCTGATTTTCAGTTTGATGGTGGCCCTATCTACACTCTCCTGCTCTACATCCTATGAATGAAAAATCAAAGAAGTTGCACAGAAAATTGTTAGCCAAACAGTGACTGCCTTTAGTTAGGTACAACAGCCACAGTGGGAAACTGGTCCAGATTCTGTGGTTACAAAGAGGGGAAAATGAGGGATAGGGTTATAGGTTAGTATTAGAAATGGGGTTGTAAAGAAGGTAATTGTGGGTGTTGGCGTTACAGGGAGGGCTATTATGAGGGTTGGGGTTACAGGGAGGCTTAGCTTTAGGGTTGTGGTTACATTATGGGTTAGCACCTTAGTTAGAGTTACAGAGAGTATTATTGTGAGGGGATCCTACGGTAGGGTACCGTACAAGGAACACCCAGATAAAAACTACCAGTGCTGAGCTTCTGGCATAGAAGCCCATTGTATATATCATGTGCATGAATTTTGGACTAAAGGGGTCTCACTAAATTTTCGATGAAATCATAAAACTCCTTTAAATTACAATTTTGCATCGTAGGACCACTTTAGACCACTTTTTGCTCAAATAGTATCAACAGTACAGTATCAAAACAGAAAAATTACTAATTGTGTACGAATAATGATGTATGTTACCTGCAGACACAAAGAAAATTCCAGCACTTAATATGATATTGTGTCGGGTTTTGTAGAACTCGCTGGCAGCAATGCAAAGCCCTCCCATGAAGAGCAGAATTACACTGAGGATAGGGAATATACTGGAAGCCCTCACAGCCCCTGTAAAAAGAAAGTGTAAAAGTAGTGGACATCGTATATATTTATGTTCAGACTTTAAAACTTCTCACAATATTGGGTGGTTATGGCATCAAAAATATACAATTGCTTATGATTTTTTTTCCTGGGGTAGACTAAAAGTACATAACAGAGCCAGAAGCATTTTTGTATACTGCATTGTACTGATTTGCTCTGTTCAACACCAAATGACTAAACATGCATTTAACCGAGAACCAGCAGACTCGAGTCCTGCTCTTCTGATCACTTACCAGCGTCTGGCCTCTTGTTGTAGACTACGTTGTGGCAACTCTCATGTTGCTATGCATTCTCTCAATATATCTGCTCAATGTGCGTTGTGTTGCGTGCTATTCATTGAGGTCAGAAATGCCCACCTACACATTTCTCTTGTGACAATTTTCCTTTACAAAAGGCACTAAAATGCTATACCCAATGAACCCTGCTGGCATTTTTTTAATTGATTTCTAAACAAAATATGTCATTTTTCCAGCAGGATATAGAGATTTTTCTCAGGATGTAGACACATATGATTGTCTTCAAGATGGCTCTGTCATGAGCAAAGTATGGGGTTGCTATTGCGGGCCTCTTTCTAGAAATTTTAGATGTCTAAATTTCGATTTTTCAGCCAGACCCAAAATGAGCATGTTGTAAATGAGTTTAAGGAATGTGTCAGAATTACTTATTTTTATGCTTGTTCTGGCTCAGCAAAAAGGTCAAAGCATCAGAATATTATCCAGGTGAAAAAGCAGAGGTCAATAATGACTATTCCATTGATCTCCCAAAACAAATTTCCTTTAATATTTAGCATTTTCAGTTTTTTTTTCTTCAATATTATATTCTTAGAATAGTCTGTGTTCTTCATACATTTTTTACATGTGTGCATGGGCTGAAAACCATACAGCTATGTCCAGATCCATAACCCCCCCCCCCCCCCCAAAAAAAAAAATAGATACAAAAATTGCATTTTCTCACTCCCACACGCAAGAGTCCTTAATGAACAATAAACGTAAAAGAAAAGGCAGTTTATTTAAGCAGCCACTATTAAAACCAATATTTGAATGTTTCAGAAGTGCAGTAGAACTGAAGAAACGTTCTGTCTATTTGGCAGGTAGTTTCCTGTGCACAGCTTACTCTGTCATATAAGTAAGTACAATAAAAATGCTGTGGCTAACAGTTACTGATAACTTAGAGAAATAGGTTAGCATATTTAAAAAGGGTCTTAAATGTGTATGGTTCATTTTCCCTTGCATCTGTGTCTCCTGCCTCTGACTCCATTTGGGAGGAAACACTGTGAAAAGGAGAAAAAAAAGATACTGGTGTTTTAGGGAGGAGAATGGGGTGGCTTGAAGAGAACCTGTCACAAACTAAGAATGACCATAAATATTATATATATATATATATATATAACATATACATAATGTACATTATGGGAAGAGATGACCTCTGGTGTTTTCTTCATTTCTCATGATGTGTGGTTCATGCTCAGAGAGGAGCTCTGACATATTCAGATGCTCTTCCGAACCCACATGGCCAAGCCCTTCAGGAAGCTATCACCTGTAATGGAGCAATCATCTGAAGCAGGGGGATTCCTGCGCATATACATGCAGCATGCGTTTGCGAGGAAAGGTGGGAATACCTTAGCCATAGTTGGTTGGCCCATTACGAGTGACAGCATCCTGGCAGGCTCAGCCACATGAATTCAGGAAAGCATCCGATCACACCGGAGCTCATATCTAACTATGAACCACAAATCGGTTGAGAATGAGGCACAGTGCACACCTCAATCTCTCAAAGCTTACATACTGTATCTGTTTGTAATGATTTTACATGGACGACCTAAAAACAGCACGATTTTTGACCAGATAATAGCTTGCGTCTTTCAACTTGCTAAAAATCAATGTTTTCTTTTAATCATGTTCAATGTAGCTAAAGCATATCTAAACTCAGAATCAAAAATTAATATGTTGTAGCTTACCAGTCCTTAGATGCGAAGGCTGCATTTGTTTCCTTTTTTATACAGTATTTTCACCTGGTAATCCTGCCAGAAATACAATTTCTCTCCTAGAATGACAACACTTGCTCACTTTATTGTACCTATGGAGCAGCAGTATCAGCCTAGGCTGCTCTCCTATGGACTATAAACACCTCATCTCATCTCCATATCGGAAGAATGTGTTCTGTAGTTCACAAGACGTTACAAGGACACTGGCATTCTGGGAAGGTCAACAGGTAAATTTTTGTGTACTTGCAGAAAATGTACTTAGCCTGAAAAAGAAAACTAACACAGTCAAGCCACCAGATCTAAGGACTGGTAAGCTACAGTATATTCAGTTTTTGTTTTTGGGTTTAGATATCCTTTACCTTCAATTCAAAGCTGACCTCAAGGCAAGTTTGAAAACACATTTTATTTCATTTATGTAAAAATGAAAACAATGATTGAATTATTTCCTTCTGTTATCCTCTGTATATTAATATTCCGGATGGGAGACAGAGGGTCATTCTGAGCCAGTTGGAACTCGCATGCTTTTATCAGAACTGTCTGAACATGTTTACAGGATGATAAAATACATGGATTACCTAATCAATGTCCTGCTCCTCCTTCATTGTTCAATCACAGTATGTGGTGGGTCCTGGATCAACCAACTTTGCTTAAAATGTTACTAAAGCTAAAAATTCCTTTTTTTTACCTTAATGAATTCCTTGCATTAAGGTAAAAAAAAAAATTATATTTCTCTATGCCCAACCGCCCCCCTCCCCCTTTCCCTGTGTGAAGGGTAAGAAAGGGGAGAATAGAAGCAGCGTCGTGCATGGATTCATCTCTTCTCCCCTCTTTTCCTCTTCACACAGCACTCGAGCAGCAGCGAGTAGGAAGTAGGGGTGGGGCTAAGTCCTGCTGTGTACGTTTATGGAGCTCGGCTCCATAGACACACATCTCTGGAGTGTGCAGACACTGTGGGGTTTATTTACTAAACCTGGTTGACTCAGAATCTTGGGCACCTGTGCATGGTAGCCAATCAGCTTCTAACCTTAGCATGTTCAGTTAAGCTTCAGCAATAAAACCTGGAAGCTGATTGGTTTTTATGCAGAAGTGGACAAGATTCTGAGTCAACCAGGTTTAGTAAATAAACCCCTGTGTGCCTCCATAGCAATCAGCTTGCTATAGGGACACACAAAGAAGAGAAACAGCCAAGATGTCTGGTATGGGACCTGAGAAGAGGAGGATCAGGGCTGCTCTGTGCAATACCACTGCACAGGGCAGGTTAGTATAACATGTTTGTTATTTTATTAAAAACATTTTTTTTTTACTTTAGTATCACTTTAAAGCAACCCTGTCCTTTGCCAGTGTCTACAGAAAGTTAAGAACTGTTGAACTGTAGTTTGTAAAGAACAGAACCAGCAATCAAAAACGTTGCTGTTGTCTGTTTGTAGAAGACAAGTTATTCCCTGATTGAATGCCACCATCTTGCCTTTTGCACAAAGAATTAGTCTGTAAGTCATAGGCATAGTGACGGTGTTGTCTTGCTCTGTGTACATAAATGGCCAGGGAAGGCATTAGAGGACATGAGGGCTTTCCTGTTGACTTTTGTCTAAGTCAGAATTTGAAAGTCAGTAACATTACTGTTCAACATACTTAGGGCCCTTTCACACCAGTTGCGTCTCTTCTGATCAGCAGGGGATTTGTGAAACTTTCCACTGTCTGTGCCCCCCCCCCCCCGAACATTTACCTGACACCGCTCTCGATCAACGCTGTCCCTGCTGGCAGCCTCCTCTGCTCTCTTGCTGCATTCACAGACTTTACTGAGGCCGGTGGCAGCCATTGGCGAGTGCCCCCCAGCAAGAGGCTTAGAAGTGCCAGGACAGGAGAAAGGTAGAAACACCTACAAAATTACTACATTTCAGAATGCATACACTTAAAGGTGTTTGCTAACAGGCATGCTGAGTTTTTGAGGATTTCATTGTTTGCCACAAGTTTTTGGCAACTGAAGAAAGATTTTTTTTTTTTAAATAAAGTTGCCCTAAAAAAAAATTACTTCTGCATTGCCACTTTCTACCATCTTTACTGGGCTGTTCTGGAGATCTGGAGGAATGTAAAGATGCCTTACAATGTTTCTACAGCTGGACTTCGGCTGCAATTTCTGCTGCAGGGTAAATCCTACTTTGTGTCTCAAACTTTGTAGCCTATTCCAGTGCCTAGGCACTGTAAAGGTGCCACAGAATATTTATACAGCTGTAAATCAGCTGCTATTTTTTCTGAAATCTATTGTTATTGATTTATACATAGAATAAGAATAAAGTGCTATACAGAAAACACTTAGCTGAAGATTTACTAAAATTGGATTACTCAGAGTCCGGTGCAGCCATGCATGGCAGCCAATCATCTTCTAAATTCAGCTTGTTCAGTTAAGCTTTGACAATAAAACCTGGAAGATGATTGGCCTCTATGCAGAGTTGCACCAAATTCTGCATGCTCCAATTTTAGTATATAACCCCTTAGTGTAATCCAGTGCAATTAGGTCACATCAGGACATGCAACCCCATATTCTACAGTTCACAACATTACAGTATATTAAATCAGCGAGATGTCAAGTAACAGTCCTTTCTCATATGGGTCATAGAAACAAAACTACCACTATATACACAAAAGAATTGAAAAAAAATCAGCATTGCAAAGTCATATTCCCGCCACCATGCATCCTGGAATTATGATCCACTCATAATTACCTCATAGGCTGTCAAATGTTTTATGTTTGCTGTAGGGTAAATTCTGCTTTGTGTTTTAAAGTTTGTGGCCATTCCAGTGCCCAGGCACTGTAAAGGTGCCACACGATATTTCCATAGCTGGACCTCAGTCGTCAAATTTCTGCAATTTTTGTTGCAGTGTAAATCCTACTTTGTGTCTCAAAATGTTTAAGCAGCTGAATTTCAGCAGTT